ATGGAGGCTCCTGCTCGGTGCAGAGACGGCCAAGAGCAGTTTGGTGACTGTCCCTGATTTCAAAGCAACACTGGAGGTGTTCACAGCTCAATTTTTCCTGGTTAAAAAAAAAAAAAATTCATACACATAATTTTTATCTATCTATCATCTATCTATCTATCTATCTATCTATCTATCTATCTATCTATCTATCTCCCTAGCTCTTCTAGGAAGACAACAGCAGACCCAGTCACCATCCCTGTCCCCCAGCTACCCTGCCTGCACCCACAGGACCCTGCTTTCCAGGGAACTGCACAACCAGCTGCAGAATAGATAACCCACATAACTCATATAGGCTTGAAAAATTCCCTTCTTCAGCTCCTCTCCTTCTCCGGAGAACAATCCCCCTAAAAAAAGGAACCAAACCTGCTCCTGTCTGTAGCTCAGTACTTCTACTGTGATGTGCCTGAGGGGCAGTGTCTGGTCTCCAGTGTCTTTTACGCTGACACAGAATTCCTGGCTGTGCTGAGCCCTCTGGGAGCTGGATGGCTCCAGGCAATGCCTCCTCGCAGGATTCCCAAGCCCCGGGCACCCTCTGCTGTCAGCGGAGGCAGAGCCAAGCCTGAGCGCTGACCCAAGCACACAGCTGCCGCAGCACGCTGTGCCCGAGGTGAATCGTACACCCTGGGACACGCTGTCAGGGAGGAGGAAGTTCCTGATCCTCTCTTGTGTGTTTTCCTACCACGTCCTTGCTCTGGGGATGGAGATCTCCAGGGCTGGACCCTGTGTCTGCCACCGTGCCCTTGGGCCAGTGCACGGGGTTTGGAGAGGGTGCAGGCAGAACCAGCAAATGGGTGAGGGAGGGGGAAAGAGAGGAAAAATGGGGAAAGACTGAAAGTCAGTAGCAGAGAGGGTTGGAAGGTAACAAGCAGAGAGGAAGAAAACCAGAGAGAAATGCAGCTTATTTTTGTAAGGAAAAAAAATGCCCCAAGATAGCAAGGGTGGCCCTACAGCAGTCCTGGGTGCACCCAGCCAAGCTGCAGGGATTGACCCACAGGTGACCCACATGGAGTCACCATCCTGCCTGCCTGGGGACCCCTGTAAGGGCACCAGGGAGAGGACTGGCTCCACAAAGGGCTTGTTCACATCGGCAGATTCATCCTTACCCGCCCCGCTTCCTTGGGCGAGTCCTGGGGGGATGTAGGAGGCATCCAGGTATTTGTGGCTGGGATCCTTCCAGGTGAAAAGCAGCATAGTAATGCCTGCAATTCATTACCGAGTCCTTTAATGATTCTTGTGTTATTACTAATTAGGCTTGTGATGCTCTACGGTGGCTCCCAGGGGGGACTGGGAGCATTGCCCAAGGCAATAAGCACTCTTCCCTCTGTTGCTGGTTGTTACAGACAAAAAGAAGGAGGACAGATCAGTACGTTCAGCCCAGGGGGACCCTGAACCTCTGGCCCCTGCAAAACGTCACCATTAGCAGCTCAGATCCACCTCATGGGGGTCTGGGCTTCCCCTGGGAAAGGCTACAGACTGAGAAAACCACTCACCCCAAAACACCGACCTCTAAGGATCAGCAGAGGCCAAGCAGGGCAGACCCAGTACTGTTTGTGGCAACCGGCTGGTGGCAGCATGGGAAAGACACACCGAGGTCTCCCTGGGCTGATCCTGAGCTCTCTCCTTCACCATCCCACCTAGTTCAGTTTGATGCTCCCCCTGTAGGGCTGCGAGAAGGAGCACGGTGGTGAGCAGGTAGGAATGGGACTGAAAAAGACGCACAGGAAACAGCTCCACCTCTGTGCTTGCCCCAGGGGAGGCAAACAGCAGGGATGTCTCCATAAGAGGCATCTTCATGAAGGAATAAAGCTTGTCCCCATCTACTCAGAACTGTCCCAGGTCCTCCTATGTTCTGCATCGAAATACGACAACTGGGGTAAAAGAGATCCTGAGCAAAAGCTTGTCCCTCACCTAGCAAATGCTTCAATCCCATCTGTGCTGTGGTTTGTAACTTGACTTCTTTCTCCTCAAAAGGACAGAGGTTAAGCTCCTGAGGGCCAGAGAAAGGTGATCCCACCCAGAAAAAGTCAAAGGCAGTGCGTCAGCAAAGGGGAACATGGGTTCCAGTCCCCAGATCTAATGCTAAACCTTCCTCATAACCACCATGGGTGGGAAAAGATTGAGCTGCCCTTGGCTGAATAGGTAAAAATGCAAATTCCTTCCTTTTCCTCAGAAACACTCCAGGTATAGAGTGCACTGCTGGGAATAGCACAGGGCGAGGCACAATATTTATTGTGCTCAGTTGAGCGGAAAACCAAGCCCAAAATCTTCAACAGAGATAAGTTCATCATCTAAACCATCTTCTCTCAAGGGAAGAAATCTCATGTGTGTAGGGAGATGGGTCTGATGGGGTGGCTTTGCTTTATGGTGACCATGACCCTGTGACCGAGCGGGCCATGGCGTGCTTAGCAGTGTTGTCACATCATGCCCTCCCCGGGTGAATAACCCTTATCTCCTCATCTCTCTTCTGCTTTCCCAAAACCAGCTATTGCACAAAATGGATCACATGAGTTTCTCTGAGAAGCCCATGAAGCACCGGTGTCGGCTCCAGACATGGTATAAATCACAGAGACATCCCAACGGGTATAAAATCTTTGGCTGACCAAGCTGCAGCAACGGGGAAACTTCTCAGCCTGGCAAGAGCAGAGATTTGGATCCTGGGCATCAAAACAGGTTGGTGGCATGGATTTCTTTGAAAGGTTCATTTTCTTTGTTTCAAGTTTTTCACTGAGAATCAGTGAAGTCCCAAGCTTGGCACAGGCAAGGGGCTTTAGAGGGAGTGACAGCAGAGACAGCTCACATCCTTCTTGGAGGAAGTGGTATAAACCATGATGGGACGTTCCAAAGACTCCCACGGCTTTCTTACCTTTCAGTGGCCTGTTCCTCAGCCAGGAAGTATGACATTGTCTCAGAATGTTTTATGGTTGACATTTAGAAATCAAATCATATTGGCCATTTGCCCCAGGATATTTGATCCCACGAGTGCTTTTCTGGTGCTTTTCCAATGTCTTGCATCAATAAACACCTAAACGTTGTGTGGCAAGCTTTGTTTAAACTGACCTGAGATCTCCCCAAGCAAAAGTGTCTTAAGCAAGAACAGAGCCCTCAGGGAACCAGGAAGGGAAAGGCTGAAAACGAGCTCATCTCTCTTTTTGCGCTCCTCATCTCAGCCTTCCCCATTCCTCCGATACGTCCTCTCCTCATCACACATCCTGCTTGGGTCCAGCCCTGGACTATTCAACATGTAGTGACGTCTCCCGCTCATGGGGCTCTCCTCCCAACAGTGTTAACCCTCAGCTAAAGCCTCAGCTGAACCATGACTGAAGAGCCCGTGCGGAAGGACAGCGAGATCAGACGCCCCGACTCCAGCATGGGCTTTGGACACAAGGATGACAAATCCAGCCTTGCTTCGAGCCAGACAGCCTCTTTCAGCCACCAGCCTCCCTCCACTCCTGCCTCCAAGGAAGTGTGGAAAAAGGGTGGCCGCATGTTCTCCATCCTGCTGGCTGTGCACTTGGCCCTGCTGGCCTGCACGCTGGTGAGCAGCGGGGCTTTTGAGAAGATTGCTGTACATGATTACGATGTCTTCTTCCTGCGGACCGTCATGATGCTGACAGTCATCGTGTGGATCATCTTCTACCTCGTCGGCACCGCCCGGAGCCCAGATGCCATCCTCTGCAAAGACTCCCATGCTGGGCCCATCTGGCTGAGAGGTAGGAGCTCTCAGGGGCTGGGGCTGGAGGTGAGATGGGGTGGACACCAGTTATTACAAGGGAAACTGCAATCAGCTGGGGCACAGTCTCCTCCTCCTGTGCTGGGGCACGGCACCATGCCCTGCTTCAGAAGGTTAGCTCCTCATCCCTCCACTGGTTTCATTTCTAGGTCTCCCTTTATCCCTTAAGGGCTCTTGGTGCTTTACACCAGGTTTCTTCCCAGCCTTGCCATGGCTCTTGCAAGAGCTGTTAGCCCCAGAGTGGAGGGTTGATTGAAAATCCCTTCCAGCCAAAATTATCATACGATTCTGTTGGTGCCAAAATAATTTGGGTGCTGGGAAAGGAAAAAAAAAAACAAAACAGGTAGAAGCAAAGCCTCTCCGTGGCAATAGTTCTCTTCCTGCTCTCACCTATCTGTGTTAGCCTGCATGTGCATACCTCTGCCCAACCACAGATATTTTGGTTCCTCAACAGGAGGCCTGATCCTATTTGCCATTTTCAGCCTTGTCATGGACGTGTTCAAAATAGGATATTACTCGAGCTTCTACAGCTGCCTGTCTGCAATCAAAATAATCTACCCTATTGTGCAAGCAATATTCGTAATCGTCCAGGTGAGATTATTGTTCTCTGTCTTGGGGAGGGGTAGAGAGACAGTCACCAGTGGAAGGAGCTCTGATCTCATGGACATAGTTCAACTCCCTCTGCAGCAAATG